TGGAGAATTTATAAATACCCTGTAGCGGTTCGTCCCATCGCTTTGCCGCGATTTGCATGTGCCCTCCTGGCCTTTTTATGGGCTAAATGGGTCTCGGGGCACCTGGCTCGCGCGCCATTTGGCGCATCCCATAGGAGAGATGAGGGAGAGAGAGAAAGGAGAGAGAGAGAGAGAGAGAGACGGAGAGAGACAGCCAGAGAGAGAGAGAGCGAGAGAGAGAAGAGAGACGGCAGATAGTAGTGTAGTGGACAGATACTGACTGACTGGCACTGAGAAAAAACCGATTGACCGGCCGATTGGCCCCATTCCGTTGACAGGCCGGTGTGCCCATCTCTTCCCCCCGCAATTTCACCTGGCATCATTGCATAGATTAGGGGGTTTAGAGCCCGGGATTTAGCTAAGCAGGATACTTAGGGTTATGGGAAAAAATTGTTTCAGCTTGCTTAAAGGGACCTGGAAGGCTAAATCCACGAGAAAACCGGGTAAAATTGCTGTGTCATGTGAAAATTTTGTTGCGATCTTAAGATTGTTTCTAATCATCTAAATTCTAAAAATTTTCTTATCACATCCCTTTACAGAAAGAGAGAGAGCCAGCGAGAGAGAGAGAGCGAGGGAGAGATATAGAGATAGAGAGAGGGAGAGGAAGCGAGAGAAAGAGAGAAAGATTTAGTGAGAGAGAGAGAGCGAGAGAGAAAGGAAGAGAGAGAGCTAGAGAGAGCTAGAGCGAGCGAGTGAGACGCAGAAGTGAATTGACTTACGTTTACACGTTGCGTATCGGCCCACCGAAAAACTCACTATGCTATCCACAGCAAAACTAGAAAATCCACAGCAACTCCATCCCTTGCCCGCCCCTTTAAAACATCTCCTTATCAGAAACTCCCCCGTTACCGATACCCCGAAATTTGGGACTTTCCCCCCTGAGGGGGATGTGGATTGGATTGGATTGGATGGGGCGGGGCCCGGTGGCTCCTCCCCCCTTTCGGGCCCTTCTTCTCCCGGTGTTGGTACCTAGTGACAGATGGCCCTCCACGATCCTCCTCCTTCTTCTTCTCAACCTCCTTCTCAACCCCCCAACACACCGTCTGTCATCGCCACACCACCACAAATCCATATATCGCATAATTTCGACTGTTCGTGGCTTCCAGCGTCATTTGTAATTTTATGGAGTTTTCTTCTCCAATAATCTCTGCTAGCCTTCACTTGTTCAGCCTTTTGTTGAAACATCTGCATCTGCTAACAACTGCCAACAATTGCGGCTAGAGTTTTAGGCTTAGACTTGTGCTACGGCGTAGGCTCAGGCTTAGCTTTGGCTTAAGCTTCGGCTTAGGCTTAGGTTTAGGCTCAGGTTTAGACTTAGGCTTACTCTTAGACGTAGGCTTAGGCTTAGGCTTACGCTTACGCTTAGCTTCGATGTAGGCTTAGGCTTCGCTTGACCGTAGGCCTAGGCTTAACCTCACGCTTACGCTCAGGTATCAAAATTTCGCCCCTCCGATCCTCTGCCCACCTCAAAACAGTCACTTTTTCGGAACGGGCTCTCCACCTCCACCGGGACTGCTCCTCCTCCTCCTCCTCTCTCCTCCCCCGGGGGTTCGGATCCCGTTTACGGGCTGATTATCACGATTTCCTCCCCCCATTTAGCAGGGCAAGATGATCGCCCTTTCCGGACAATCCGCCATTATCTCTCGCTGTCTCTCGCCGCTCTCCATTCTCTCGCTTCGGGTGGGGGTGGAGAACCTGCCCGAACTGCCTCACCTGGGCTCCACCCGGGCTCACCGGGATCGCATAACGAACGCGTAGAGGATTGTTTTTAGAGGTTTGGAGCTTGAGCTCGATCACTCTCTCATGCTCACACCCTCTTGATACACCCTCTCTTTCTCTCTCTCGCTCTCTGTCCCTCTCTCCCCTCTTCTTTTTCTTTCGCTCTCTCCCACTCTCTCTCTAGTTCACTCTCTCTCATTCTGCGATTTTTCTACAATTTTCGATATTTTTAATTACTTTAAACTCCAGCGAACACCCCGCACTTACCTTTTTCACCCCGTCGATAGTTGGGGCTGTGATTGTGGATTAATTAGGCCTTGATCTATCTGTCCCCCCAGCCGTCCCCTCCCGAGTTTTTTTCCGAATTGATACTCCCCAGCCACTTCCCCTCGTGTGTCCCTCTTTTTGCTCTTTTACGGGTTTTCCCCGCGCGATCCACTGGGTGTCAGGTATCGCGCGTTTTTTAGGTGAGTGATCAGCCCGCTTTTCTCTTAACCGGGGGGCCCGGTGAACATTTTTTTCGGAAGCGTTTTCGGAATTTTGGGGGTATGCTAGCAGAGATTCTTGATGGCGCGTGGGCAGGCTAGCAGCGTTTTTGAAGAATTAGCGGGGGTAGGCTAGCGGAGATTTTTGGGGAATTAGGAGGTAGTCCACGGAAGGATGCGGAGGGCACACTAGCAACGGTCTTTGAGTAATTGGTGGGAAGGTAGCGGAGATTCTTCGGGAATTACAGCAGGAAGGCAAGAATAGATTTTTTGGAAATTACTGAGGGTAGGCTAGCAAAGATATTTGAGGAATTAGGGAGGGCCGGCTCGCAGGGATTCTTTGAGGAATTGCGGGGCCAGTCAGCAGGGATTCCTTGAAATTTACCGAGGGCAGGTTAGCAGCGTTTTCTGAGGCTTGCGGAGATGCGGTTTATTTTTGTCCGATTTGTCCGATTTTTCGATAAAACCAGGCCTAACAACCCTTGCTCAACAGCATGATACCTTCTTGATTCCAGCACTGAACTAGTTCCCCTCATCATCCTGCTGTCGATGGGAGCCCGTCGTTGTACCGAGGGGGGGGGGGAACGGGTTATGTTACGCGATCCCGATCGGGAGATCTCCCGGTGGCATATCATCAGCTGCTGACCAGTTCGCTCTAGCATTCACCTTAAGCGGGATGGGTGTACGGTAATGGCTACGCTACGATACGCTACGCGACGCTACTGGTTACGTGGCAATAAGGGTTCGGTATAAGCATTAATAGCTAGGTAAGCGCAAAGCTTTTAGGTTCTGTTCTAAATCTTTGTCTTTCTTTTTCTCTCTCTTGCTCTCGCTTAGTCTCTCGCTGTCTCTCTCTCGCTCTGTCGCTCTCGCTCTTTCGCTCTCTCACTCTCTCGCTCTCACTCACTCACTCTCTCACTCACTCTCTCTCTCTCTCTCTCTCTCTCTTTCCCTGGCTCTCTCTCTAACTGGGCATTGGCACGCTAGCAAAGAAAACAAACTCTCAATCTCAAACTCATCCTCAGGCTCATAATCATGATCGTGCCCATTCCCATGCGCATTCTCCAGCTCCAAAAAGAGGCCAAAATGAATTGTTCTGAAAATCCGGGGGCTCTATTTCTGTATACCTTTCGCCCCCGGTGTGCGCCCTTTGCGCGTCACGGGCCAAAAGGTGTAAAGGTGTGCTAACATGTGGCCGATCCGTGGCCACCGATTGAAAACACGTGTAGAGGGCAGGGGAGGCCGTGGACGAAGCCCACCTGTGACAGGCCATTTCACCGCCCTTAAAGCATCTACGGCAAAAGCTGTGCGTTTTGCTGGAGGAGGTGATTTTAAGGGGATTGAGAAGCTTAGGGGAAACGGTAGATTCCGATCTATACCTTTTGACGGTATCATTTTAGAGCGAAACTGTATTTCAGCGTGTTTTTCTCTCTCTATCCCTCGCGCTCTCTCGCTGCTTAGAAAAATGTCTCGCTCCTCCCGATCCTGTAAGTTTCTCGGTGAATCTCGTGCTCCCTCTCTCTCTCTCTGTTGCTATCTCTCGCTCTCTCTCTCTCTATCCCGTCGTCTCTCTCCTCACGCTCTCTCGCTGATCAAAAATGAAAATAAAAAAATCTCCTGCTCCCTCTCTCTTTCTGTCCATCTCTCTCTCTCCCTCTCATATTTCAATCTCTAGCTCTCCCTCGCTGATTATCAATCTCTCCTTCCTCCGAGTCCTTTAAGTTTCTCAAGCAATCTCATGCTGCCCTCTCAATATCTCGCTTTCTCTCTTCTCTCTCTCTCTCTCTCTCTCTCTCTCTCTCTCTCTCCCTCTCCCTGTGTTCTAAATTTTAAGCATTCCCTGTAAGACCCAAAAATCCCCATGCCCAAATCCGGCTTTTCCCCTTTAGCGGCCTCCTCCCCCATACTAACGAGAGACTGGGCCCATCCCCCTGAGACGGTGAAACCCGACCTGATCCAAGGGGGCCCAGGTGGGAGGGCCCCTCCTCCCCCCGTATACGGTTGTCTCCCGTAGCCCCAGAAGGGACGACCCAATTTCCGTCGTGATGCCCACCCCCCTGGTTGGCCCCGCCCCTCCCCGTCCTGGCCGGCAGGTATCTTCTGCCCCTAGGGCTCATTTCGTACTGCCAGTCTCATCCTTGTCAGGGCCACCATGTCCTCAAGGGTCTTTGCTAGCTTGCCATTTTACTAGATTCGCCCTTTTGTGCAAATTGTCGCTGCTAGCTCGCCTTTTTACCTGTATTTTCATTGGCGTGTTTCGTCAAAAGTCCTTTTGAAACAATTACCTAACGGATCGGTGATAGCTGGATGAAAAATCATTTGTCATAGTTTTGCATAATTTCCTCAATTATCGCTGCTATGCTTTTAAGATACTTTCCAAGCTGGTCAAGCCTGTCTTCAACGCTCCTTTAAACGAAAAATTACTTTGTTTTGGGGTGTTTCCATCTCCTAAAAGACCTCTGCTAGCTGCCCACGCGGGGGGTTCGGCGAGGATTTCCAAAATTTCCACCATGGCCTTTGCTAGCTTGCCTTTTACCTATTTTTCTTGGTCTGCATGGCTTCCCCAATTGTCTCTGTTAGTTTGCCCCATGGCCATTTCCGACGATAGGCGGTTTTCTGCCATTTTTTTTGGGCGTTTTCCACAATTTTTGGGCTATGTGTTGTGTTTTTCCTTTCTGCCTGTTTTTTTCGTTCCGTTGACACCTGTTTACAACCCGAATTTCCAGCCTCCCCGGCCCCCTAGCCAACCCCCGAAAGATGCTGGGCCTCTTCGAGAACGCCGCCAGCTCATCCCCACTTGCAGATCGCATCAAGGTACAGTTCAATCCACCGTATTTAATTTCTTAAATCTATTCAGGTAGACGACGATCTGCTGCGAAAATTCAAATGCGACGAGTGCGGGAAGGCGTTCAAGTTCAAGCACCACCTCAAGGAGCACATTCGGATCCATTCGGGGGAGAAACCGTTTGAGGTGGGGGAGGTTTGAGAGTTAGGCTTAGGCTTAGGCTTAGGCTTCGCCTGGGCTTAGGCTTCGCCTGGGCTTGGGCTTAGGTATGCTTCGGCTAGTGCTCAAATTTTCGCTTATTCCGCGACTTTCCGCGGCTACGGTCGGCCTTGGCGACAGTAGCCAGCCGGGCTATTTGCCCAGCGGGGTTACCTTGGTTACCTGGGGGGTGCGGGAAGGGGGGGGTTACGGTAGCTGCCCTCCCGGGTCAAAAGACCTAATTTCAAAGGTCATTGGAAGGCCGAATCCAGAGCCGAAATTTTTTGAAGGTTGTCAAGGCGCTTAAAATCTTAGAAAATGCCAATCGTAACAGAAAAAAAATACATCAAACTGTTTTTGGGTCCCACAGCGCCTAGGCGAATAGCGCAAATCGAAAAATTTAAATTTCTGCTTGTTTTGGAATTCGGGCGATTTCAAAAGGCACCGAGAAGCCAAAAATTCCGTTTTTTCCAGTGTCCCGCATGCCAAAAGCGGTTCTCCCACTCCGGCTCCTACTCCTCCCATATGAGCAGCAAGAAGTGCACGCCCGGAAATGGCAGCCCCTCGCTAAAACAAGGTGAGGCTTGACGACTACGAGACTGTACGATGTCACCATCCCTTTAAAAGACCTTGAAAATTCTATTTTTCAGGTCTTCCAACAATGGTGCCCCAATCGGCGAGCCCGGGCAGCGGTGGTGGCCTATTCGGTGCCTCCGATCAACTTGCCGTATACCGCCATTTTTTGCTGCAACTCCAGGCCCAGCAAATGATGACGGCCGGCGCCAATCCGTACCTGTCACTTTTCCAACATCCTACGGTGGGTTACTGGGGATTTTGGTGGGTTTAAAGGGACTCAGAAGTTTGATTTTCAGAAATTCGGTGTTTCTATTCCGATTTTTACTATTGACGCCCTGGAGAACGCAATTTTTTCCTGATAATCCACTTTACGACCGCTTTGAAACCATTGTAAACGTAAAATTATTTTGCGTAGTTTTTTTAGGTTTAAAGGGATTGGAAAGGTTAATTTTGGCAGACATGCAAGGCTAAAGCTCAGGCTTGGGCTTAGGTTTGGGCTTAGGTGTAGGCTTAGGCTTAGGCATTGGCTTTGGCTTTGGATTAGACTTTGGCTTGGGCTTAGGCTTGGGCTAGGCTTAGGCTCAGGCTCAGGGTTAGGCTCAGGCTCAGGTCAGGCTTAGGCCTAGGCTTCGGCTTAAGCTTCAGCTTAGACTTATTCCAAGCTAATCTCTAGCTCCACCTAATTAGCTCATGCTCCAATCCCGTTCATTCCGCAACGCTACTAATTCCAACCCACACCCCATCCCCACATTCTCATTTCCCCGATATGAAATGCTCCCTTTATGCGTAGCGGGGCCCATGGCCTATATAGCATGGGCCCAGGTCCCCCTCCCCTGGCCATAGGGCTCGTGTTGGTGGCAATTAGATGGCACACCGTCGTCGTCGTCGTCGACCACCTTTCTGGGCCCTTTCTGGGCCCCTCCTGGGCCCTCTCCCGGGTCTCCCCTTTTACCTTCACAATTCCAGGGGCGCCCATCCCTACCTCTACGGGGCAGGGTGGGGCCCCGACGCGGGGCCCTTAGGCTTAATGATGGTGAAATTGTGGTGTGGGTGTGTGTCCCTTTCACCATTGGGTAGGTGGGGAGACCCGGATCGACAGGGTCGGACGTAGCGTTACGAATTTGGAGATGAACTGTGGGTTGGGATGGTCATAAGAATCATTTGGGTCAAAAAGCAAAAAATTAGACAAGTTGAGGACTCGAACTTGCGACTTTTGGCTTGAGAGTCGGCTGCTCTACCGACTGCGCTAGACCTAAGCTTGGCAGCGGAAGGGGAGCTGACCTAAGAAGGAACGGTTGATTACTGCGAGCGCTTGGGGTCAATTTTCCCATTAATTTCGATTGGTAACTGTAGCTAGGTTGTTCAGCGTACCGTAGTGGAATAGAGATTTCTTCACGGATTCTAGATATCTTTTAAAGGGATATGTTAGATCTGCGGGGTTACGGTAATTCGACGTTATATTTGTGCACTGTGAACTTTGGCATCTCTCTATAGCTCTGTTGCTCTGTCTCTCTCCCCCGCTCTCTCTCTCGCTCGCTCTCTATCTCGCTAGCTTTTTCTTCTAAAAAATGCAGAAATGCAAGGCGTTTGAGCAACACCTTGTCTTCTCTCTCTCTCTCTCTCTCTCTCTCTCTCTCTCTCTCTTCTTTCTCTCTCTCTCTCTCTCTCCCCTCTTCTCTCTCTCTCTTTCTTTCTCTCTCTCTCTCTCTCTCTCTGGCTTTCTCTCTCACTTTCTTTCTCTCTCTCTCTCTCGCTGGCTCACTGTCACCTAGAGAACCCAAAAACCCTAAAAAAACTACGACCCAATCCTCAAATTCCAACACTCCCTCCCCATCGGTGTACACCTTTGTATCCGTGGGCCCTGGTTGGGACCCAGGATGGGGCCCACACGGGGGGAGGGCCCGCCTAATTAACGGCAGGGCACACGGGAGGGGTGCGCGGCCTCCCCCCAGCAGCCGCTGTGGCCAATCGAAGGGAAAACACGATTCACGAAGCGAGAGACCGCCGGAATTCAGGAGCATTGGAGAAGGAGAGAGAGGGGAGGTGAAAACGAGCTCTCCGACCTGTCCCTCACAGCCTCCTGGCCAGGGGGAACATCATGATGATGATGATGGCCACACCTTGGGGGTGCTGGCTGGGCCCTTTGGCATGGGCCCCAAGGAAATGAGGGCCACAGATTGGGGCCCAGGGGGGAAAATAGCAGCCTATTTCGTGCCTCCCCCTCCACCGCGAAAAGGTGGCACAAAATATTGGCGGGGACATGATTTTTTGAGAAACACGAATTGGACCGTGAGGGCAACTTGCAGAGATTATTGAGGAATGCTGGGCAATCGGGCAAACTAGCAGAGATTCCCTGTCTGGGCGTACTAGCAGAGATTCTTTGGGATTTCGAAACTTTTTGTGAGGGCAAACTAGCAGAGATTCTTGAGGATTTCGGGGATTAGATAAGGCAAGCTAGCAGAAATTCTTTAGGAATTTGAGCGCTTTTTCAAGGCAAACAAGCAGTGATTCCTAGGGATTTTCTGATCTTTAACCGGGCCAGCTAGCAGTGATTCTTGGAAACCTCCCACTCATCAATCTCTTTTCAGCCCCCCTCCACTGTCTCGCCGATCGCCCAGAATTTCCTGGCCGCCTGCCTGAAGGCCCAAACGGCACAGACGAGCCCCGCCGAGTCGGAGGAGACGCACAACGACGTCAAGGAGGTCGAGGAGGAAAAGGTGAGGGATTAAAAACCGGATATCCGCTTTATACGGGCGAGCTAGCACAAGTTTGGCGTTTTAGATGGCGAGATTTGGCAGGTTTCGGCAATTGTTGACTTTTAGGTTGAACCCTTGGAAACCCAGGCTAAACAAGCTGAACTTGATGAGCCAAAGATCGAGCCGGAAGTTGACGCCAGGGTCGATTTGGCCAAGCTTTTCGGGCTGGGCGAGCAGGTTGTTGAGGTGGGTGGATTGAACTGCTTGAAAAAGTCGTCAGAGCAATCGATGCGCTGATAGGCGCACTAATAGACAACAAGCTAGACTATCTAGATTATCTAGACGACTTCAAGGAGTTCAAAACAGTTTTTTTCGGAAAAAGACGCTAACAGACCATCGAAACGACGTCTTCAAGGAGTTCAAAAAAATTCAAATATTTTTTCCAGAAAAAAGAGGAAGACAAATCGATCTTCGGGCTGATGACCCCACCGAAAACCGAGGGCTCCGAATGGCGGCCGATGAGGTCGAGATCGTTCCTCACCGATGCTCAGGTGCAAAAAGCTTCTGAAAATACAAATTTTGCGCTTTTTCAGGTGTCAATCCTGCAGAGCCACTTCCAGCGCAACCCGTTCCCGTCAAAGTACGACTTGGCGGCGTTGGCCATGCAGATCGGCGTCAACAAGCGGGTCGTACAGGTACGGGATTTTAACAAAATTTAGAAAACCTGGACCTACTGGGTTAATTCGGCTTTTTTTGAGCAATATGGTTTATTTATCATTCAATAAAAATCTCAGAAATATATTTTACTAAAATGTATGTAAATTTTTTCATAATTTTATATTAATTAATTTTATATACATTTTTTTGTAATTTTCCTTTGTTTCAGGTGTGGTTCCAAAACACGAGGGCCAAGGAGCGGCGCACCAATCGGACATTTGTCGACAGGGCGAGGGCGAGGCAGGATTTTGGTGGGTTTCGAGAGATAGTGAACTCCTTGAAGTTGGGGTGGTTGTTGCCCAAGCTACCTGAAAGCCTAAATCAACAAAAACAGCAAATTTCAGTACCCAGCGGCGTTTGGGGAAATATGGCTCGGCCGGAGTTGAGCTCCCCTTTTGGCCAATCGTCACCCCTTGTTCCGCAACTGGCCGGCAGTCAGCAGGCGCTGGCCGCACAGCTGATGTCCGTCTGGCTGCAGCAGAACGCGATGGCTGCTATGGACTCGCAGGTACGGTAGATGCAGCGGAGATTAGGGGAGTTTTTCGAACTCGTTGAACTCGTAGGAGATGGAGGGGATAGAGCGTGAGAGAGAGCGTGAGGGAGAGCGAGAGGGAGAGAGAGAGCGAGAGAGCGAAGGGACAGACGAGAGAGAGAGAGGCGAGAGAGGCGGAGGGAGGCGAGAGGGAGAGAGAGGCGAGAGGCGGAGGGAGAGGGAGGGCGGAGGAGCGTGAGGGGGCGAGAGGGAGAGAGCGAGAGATTGCTACAGAGAGAGAGCGCGAGAGTGAGCTGAACTCGTTGAAGTTCTCGTCAAAATTTTTCGCATAGAGTTGTTCCTACTCCCTTTAATCCGATTTTTACCATCAATCCATAGCCAAAAACCCGCTTACCTGACTTGCCAATCCCTTTAAGCCCTGCCACCCCCGTTTTCGCGCATTTCCAGGGTAATGGGCCGCAGCCGGTGTATATATTTGACCCCCCTGCCACCCCCGAATACCCGGTGATTATTGGGTAATTCCCGTAATTTGGGTCTATGGGCCACTTTTTGGCAGCAGGTAGCCCATCCTCCCCTCAAATTGGATAATAGGCATGCAGAGAGGACAGGGAGAGAGAGAGAGAGAGAGAGCGAGAGAGAGCGAGAGAGAGGGAGAGAGTACTCTCAGGTATCTTGTGCTCCCAGGCCACTTGTATCTGAAAGAGAGAGGGGCCCAATTAGAGCCCCCGTCTTATACCCCTGGTGTCTTTAAAAGAGGAGAATGAGGAGTACCTCCATCTTAATTAGCTGACAGCTGGGGGAGGGCCCAATTCGGGAGGTTGGGGCCAATTTGGGGGCCCCGGTAGATATGGGGGGTCAAGTTCGGGGTATAGGTGTTGGGGATTAAAGGGGTTGGGAAGTCGAGAATTTAGGGAGTGAGAGAGAGCAGGGGGGAGAGAGAGGGAAGGCGAGAGAGAAGCAAGATAAGTTAATTCCTAAATTCCCGTATTTCAGGATGAAGCCATGAGCGACGATGAGAAAATGTCGGAAGGCCCGGAAACACCCCTGGATCTATCCCTAAAAGAAGACGAGGAGGATGAGGTTGAGCCCCAGGATGAAGCCGCCGAAGACCCGCCACGACCCTCGTCCTTGACTCAACCACCATCAGCCCTTGAAGCCTTCCTCGAACAACAGGCCGATGCGGTCCGGAAAGCGCTTGAGGTGAGCTTGGTTTTAGGCTTAAGTTTAGGCTTAGACTTAGGCTTAGGCTTGGGCTTAAGCTTAGGCTAGATTTAGGCTCTCCGAACCGCCCCCTTTCCAGGAAGCCAAAGCCGAGCCCTCCAAGCCGGACAGCTTGAGCCCGTCGGCGGCCCATTCCCCGGCCCCTTCAGCCACATCCCCAGCCACGACCTCCTCGACGTCGTCCGGCATCTGGCCCACCAACTTTTTCCTCTCCCAATATTCGCTGTTGGGCACGCAGGGGCTCGCCGATCTCAGGAAGGTGCTCGATGTAAGTTTTAAGATTTCCGAAGTCGGAGGTTCCCGGTTTCCGATCCCTTTAAAGGCCCCCTAAAGCGTCCTCTTTAACGAAATTTTCAGAGAGGAGACGTGGAGTCCTCTCGCTCCCCCACACCCCACAAGCCCCGATCAACGACCAGCGCCGAGGAGGGCGAGGGCCTATTCGCGTGCGATCGTTGCGAGAAGGTCTTCGGCAAGCAGTCCTCACTTAATCGCCATAAATACGAACATTCCGGTTAGTTCATTTCCGGGTTTTTAATAGGTTTTTGCATTGCGAGTTGCAACCAAAATCCCCAGAACAAAATCTCGACAGACTGATTGGTAGAATCCCGAGAGCCAAAATGCCGACAGTCTGAAATCTCGAAAGCCAAAATACCGACAAGCCATAATCTCGACAACGAAAATTCCGTCAGAGAGCCATAATCCCGACAAGCCGAGAGCCCGAAAGTGATAATCCCGACAAATCTGATCCGGCCCTATTTTAGGCCATTTTCGGCGCTGCTTTCTTTTAAACAACGATTTTGCACTGTGGATTTTGACTTTCGGAGTTTCCCTCTGTCGGTATTTGGAATGTCAAGGTTTTGGATGTCGGCATTTTGAATTTCGGGACTTTGACTATCGTGTCGGGCTTTGCTGTCGATTTTGGTTGTGGGTGTTGCCATGTCGGTATTCTAAATGTCAAGATTTTGAATGTCGGGATTTTCACGTTGCCCCTTGCCTTGCCAATCCCTTAAAAATGGCTAGAATCGGTAGGTAGGTGGGGGGACAGGCGTTGAATAGCTAATTCGCGGTACCATTCTGGTTGGGCCCAACCCCACTCGATCAATCAGCGGGGCCCATCTGCTCCTCAATATAAGGGGACCCATCCCCCCTTCACCTCTACCTCATCCCATTTAGGGAGAGCCACCACCGGGGGGATGGGACTCGAAAAAAGTGTTGTGCCGGGGGCCCCAACAGCCTGGGGGCCATCATTAAAGGGCCAGAGGAGGATCCAAGTCCACTTTCCGCAAAGAATCCCTGCTAGATCGCCCGGATCGCACTGATTTTTTGAGAGGGTTTGCGATTTCTGAGAGCCAAGGGGCCCTTTGGATTTCGCATAAAACCCTGGCCACGACCATCTATGGAAAAAACCTTAGAAAAACCTGGACTTCCGCTTTCCCCAGATCCCCGTTAGCTCTCGCCTGGTAACAAAGATTTAAAAAAATTGTTTAAAAGTTGGTACTTTGGCATTAGCGGGGGGGGGGGCAAATTTGTCGATAACTCTCTAGTTCTATAATAAATTTTTTGCTATTACTAAATGCGAAAACTTTGAAATTTTTGCAAAAAACACAAAAAATATCGATTTTTTTCGACCAAAATCTAAAAATTCTGAAAAAATTTTCAATTTTGAAGCACTTTTTCCAATTCAAATATTGCTAAATTTGATCAAAAATACTATTAAAATAGCTATTTTACGTTACTAAGGATTACTGCGACTTTACAAACAATCCCCCCCGATAATGCACTAGCACCGCTTTAATTGATACCTGCCTGGGGGTGGGGGTAAATTGTCTGTGTCTGTGTGTTGTGTGTATTGAGAGGTACCCCCAGCCTTTGAAGGGATGAGTGGCATTGCGCAATGGGACGGATCGCAAGGAGGATCGGAGCGGAGGGGAAGAGGAGGAGGAGGTGGAGACCCTCCACCACCTGCACCTTCAGGGCGAAGAAATAGTGGGAAAAGCGAGAGACGCAGAGACATCCACCGTCTTTCACACCCAATTGCACAATTTTTCGGGTAGCCAAGGAGCGCATCATCTTAATTGGAGTGCAGGGGGGGCTAGAGGTGGATCTTGGGCCCAAAACAAAGGAGCAGGATTAAAAATACAAATTCCAAAAACCTTGATCAAGAAGCAAAAAATTTCGCACCGGCCGGGGGTCGAACCCGCATCCCCAGATTGACAAGCGAGAGCTTTACCATTGAACCAGAGAGAAATGGCAGGCTTATAATTAGCGGTAAAACGGCGATATAGACTGACCAAACATTTTCAGGCCAGCGCCCATACAAATGCGACACGTGCGACAAGGCGTTCAAGCACAAGCACCACCTCACCGAGCACAAGAGGCTGCATTCGGGGGAGAAGCCGTTTGAGGTAAATTTCATGTCGTTAATGCGAATTTTAACGCTCTCGCTCTCTCCCTCTCTCTCTCTCCCTCTCTCTCCCTCTCTCTCTGTCTCTCTCTGTTTCCCTCTCTCTTCCTCTCTCTCGCTCTTCCTCTTTCTCTATACGTCGCTCTATCTCTATAAATCTCTCGGCTCTGTACCGATAGCACGGGGCAATGACAACAGAACGGGGCATCTCTCTCCCTCTCTAGCGCGCTCTCTCTCTCTCTCGCTCTCGCACTCTCTTTCTCTCTCTCGCTCTCTGTACCCTTATCTCTCGCTTTAACTAATATTTTCAACCCCTCCATTTCAGTGCCTCAAATGCCACAAGCGCTTCTCCCACTCCGGCAGCTACTCGCAACACATGAGCCATCGATATTCCTACTGCAAACCCTTCATGCAAGAACAAAAACTCGCCGATGATGAAGCCGCCCTTGTCGAAGCCCAGCCAATGGAGAGCTGAGCATGAGCTCATCAGGCCTCGTGCTCCCCTCAAAAGTCAGCTTTTCCCACAATTCCTAGTCTCCCCGCTATTCCCTCTTTCAATGCATTTTGCCTTACTTGGTGCTTACCCTAAAAATGAATTGGTTCTACGAAAAACTCGCGCGTTTGCTCATCGCTTTCAACCCCCGCAATTGTTGGTGCTCCTTTTTGCAAATTGTGTCTTTACATTGTTTTTTTGGGCGTTTTAAAGGGGCCTGGAAGGCAAGGAGCCCGTTTGGAGGTTTTTGGCGCTTTTCCAACTAAAAACTAATTTTAAAATTGTACGCTACGAAATTCATGCGTCGCAATCGATTACGGCGTGTAATTTGATATGCTCGATCGATTACGACATCATTTTTCCAAAAGATTACGGTATCGAAAGAAAATTCGCGTGGCTTAATCGATTACAATACATAATCCCGGCCTCTCGGGAACAATTACGCTATGAAATTCACGTTTTTCGACTCAATTAAGCTACAAAATTTTATTCGGAATGCTAATGAAAAAGAAAAAATGAAACGCTATGAAATTCCGGTTTCTCGAAAGGTTCACGGTATGAAATTCACGTTTTGAAACGATTACGCTAGGAATTTCAGCGGCCTGAATCGATTACGCGACGCTGTTTTTTGGAGTAAGTTACGATATTTTGTGCTATGCACACTGAAACGTGACTTAACCGGAAAAGGTAGAGCTTAATCGATTACGCCATAAAATACCCGAAAACTCCTTTGCCTTCCACGTCCCTTTAAAGCGCGCTCTCGGCTATGCCGGCCCCTCAAAATATGAGATTCTTGCCCCGCCCCGACCGCCACCGTCTCCTCTGTGATCCGCGGGCGCTATCGGTTAGTGTTTGCAATTTTCATTGCGTTTTTGTGCTTATTTTAATTTGCATTTTTTGCATTTTGAGGTATTTTTTGTGTGTGCTCTCCAGCTGATATGGTGCTCCTGATGTACATAGGAATTGTCTCGTACTTTAAAGGGGTAGAGAGGCATGGACTTTTTCGGCTGTTGATTTATGGAATTTGGTTAAGTTAAGCCAAGCCACGCCCAAGACTAAGCCAAGCCCGAGCTTAAGCTAAGCCTAAGCCTATGCCTAAGCCTAACCAAAGCCTAATCCTAAGCTAAGCCTAAGCCTAAGCCTAAGCTAAGCCTAAACCCAAACCTAAGCCGAATAGCCCAAAACCATGCCTTCCCAGTCCGTTTAAAAAATTTCCCTATTCGATTACGCCCTGAAATTCGTGTCCACGCTTCGAGCTCCTTGCCCAGAGTTTAATTTGTTAAACTACCCCCCCACAAACCCCCCAAAAAGATACCGGTGGCTTGCCTTTCTTCGCTTTTCTTGCATTTTTTTGGCTGATTTGCATTTTTATTTTAATTTAATTTTTACGCATTTAATCGATACTTTTGGTTGATCGCTAGTCTATTTGCCCGCCCTCTTTTTCGAGTCACGCCCTCGGACCAAAAATTGCCAAAAACCGCAGTCGTATATCATTTGCATGTGCAAACAGTACCAAACAATTTGTGAGAGACCAATTTTACGTCGTATTTTTACATTGGTTTTGTGATTTTTTGTGTGTGTCACGGCTTCCGCAATAAAACTATTCAAAAAAATGGCACTACAAACTATTAAAAGTACGAAAATGAAACAAAAAACAAAAAACAAACGCAAAAAATTACAAATTGAAATTTGTATTAAAAAAACTAAATATAGATTTTTCGACCAAAAATGCCCAATTTTTGACAGGAAGTTCAAATTCTTTAATTGTTTAGGAATTTTCCGCACCTTAAATCTAGCTAAATTTTATTAAAAGCAACTACTAAATTACCTAGCATTACGTTATTACGCAATTCGCATCAATACAAAAAAATTCTATACCCCCCCGATAACGCGAAAGTACCCGTAAATTTCTGGTTGGCAATTTTCTAAATTATAATCGATCTAAATTAATTTTAGGTGTATTTCGTAGTGCATAGTACTCTCCCGGCGCCGGTCGTTAACTGTACTCGTCCGTAATTTTTATGCAAACTACAGTACGCTCCTATACACCCAGACGGTACAAAGTGCGCTACCGTACCTTTTTTTTATCCTCCGAAGGCGCTCCTTGGTATATTTAACACAGGCAAGCTGGCAGCGTTACTTTGCGGAATTTTATGCAAATTCGAGTGTATTAAATTCCTAAAATTACAGCTTGCTACCGTATTCCATTCATTTATTAAACGGCACCCAATTAATAGCAGCACCTAAAAGGGCGGGGGGAAAGCACCGGTATCGCGTAGGTCGGGGGAGAGAGGGAGAGAGAGAGAGAGAGAGAGAGAGAGAGAGAGAGCGAGAGAGAGTAACAGAAAAAAACGCAAAAACATACAAATTCCAAATTTCAATCCTTATTCCTCATCCTCGGTGTACGGCAACAAATCCGGGCACACCGGGTTTGAAAAATAGATCGAGTCGAGCCCGCACTTGCCCGACCACTCGCCCGTGTTCACGCACTCGAATGTGATCTGGGATACGGTAGAATGGGCGTGAAATCGACTACCCACCTGTTTTGTGCCTGCGGGGCATTTGACGGTGTGGGCCAGCCACTTACGGTGGCCACGTTTCACGCCCTCCTCGGTGGAGAACGGGCAGAAGTCGTCGCAGCACATGCGGAGTCGAACCTGGAGATGTACGGTAAGGCGAGAGAGGGAGAGAGAGAGAGGGAGAGAGGGAAGAGAGAAGGGGAGAGCGAGAGAGAGAGCAGAAAGAGAGAGAGAGCGGCGAGAGAGAGAGAGTGAGAGAGAGTGAGAGAAAGCAGGCGAGAGAAAGAGAGAGAGAGAGAGAGTGAGAGTGAGAGAGACAAGCGAGAAACGGAGAATGAGAGAGAAAGGTATTTTCTATTATTAGAACGATTTTCATAACTTTACCTCTCGAGTAGCCTCCCATGCCGTAAACCTAACCACCACCGGCATCCGATGCGATAGCTAAAAATATTTTATCAATTTTTATTCGAATCCTTTAAATACCTGTGTCGTCAGCGTGGCCACCTCACTTCCGTTAACATACGCCGCCGCGAAATGTGTGTTCACCGACGTGAAGACGGCTGAAAAAAGGATGATTCTCAGGCGGTAAAAAGCTTACCATTCCTCTCCATCGCCTTCGCTCGATCCGGCCTTCCGGCCACATTACTCCAGGCACGGACCGAAAAGTCACCAGAGCGCTTGTGACGTCTGGAAATCAACGTTAATTTGGATAGAAGCGAGAGAGAGAGAGATAGGGAGAGAGAGAGAGAGCGAGAGAGAGTGATTGAGAGAGTGCGAGAGGTAGAGAGGGAGATAGATAGAGAGAGAGCGAAAAAAGCGAGAGAAAAAGAGCGAGATAGAGAGAGAGTGAGGAGAGAGAAAGAGAGTGAGGAGAGAGAGAGTGAGAGAGTGAGGGAGCCAAAGGAAAGCTAGAGCGTCTCAAACCTCAAAAATCCTTCGACCTCATCAGAGGATGACTCCCATTTGCAGAGATCTCCTAGAAAATCGATACAAGTATTCTTTACAACATTAAAACCTTTCTCAAAATCGCACTCGATCTGCGTGCACATTTCCAGCGTCTCGGCACGGTCGGGCTTGGCACTAAAATGGAATTAAAACTGTGTTTACTATCCCACAACCCATACCTCCTTGTGTCGAGCTCACGGCTGGCGCTGAGGTGAACCTCACTGGATCCTAAAAAACAGGATTAATTCCTAAACGCCCCTCAAAACACCGTACCACTCTCACTAGTCGAATACTTCTCCCTTGACTCGCCGCGCCATGGCTTTGCCGTCGTTGTGGTGATAGTGGCCTGGCGGAAAATAGGCGCTTTAAGGGACCGAACTACCGGCTTCTTCGTCCGCTGCACTTGTGGGGTCGGGTGGCCCATACGAGGCGGGGCGATCGGCTTTTTCAGCGGCTCGTCCCAGTTTAGGTTGATGATTTTGGCTTGGCTGAAGCAAAAAAAATTACATCTCTTTAGCTCTTCGCTATTCACAGGGCTTAAGGTAGTCTAAGCCTCAAAATCGGCTTAAGCCTAAGCCTAAGCATACGCGTGGGCCTAATCCTAACCCTACGCCTAATCCTAGACCTAAGCCTAAGCCCAATCTAAACATAAACATAAACCTGCCTAGCAACCTAAGCCTAATCATAAGCCTAAGCCTAAGCATAAGCCTAAGCCTAAGCCTAAGCCTAAGCCCAGGCCTAAGCCTACGCCTAAGCCAAGCCTAAGCCAGGCCCGCCATCGACCTTACCCCTCATCAATATTCCTCCGGTTGTGCACAGGCAGAAGTCGGGCGAGCAGCGGCGACACCGAATCTCCACCTCTACGGGGCTACAAAGTCCATTTCCCACTACAAGAGCCTCAACTTACGAATTTTCTGCGTGGACGCCGTCCCGCGAATTCTGGGTCGGTTTCCTAAAATTTTCTAAATTTTCCAGATTTTGGCTACTAACCACAAATCCACGCTCAACAGCCGTATCCAGTGTATCGGTGGCCGGGTCAAACGTTGGAGGCTAAAGTGTGGATAAGCTACCGTAAGCCGCCGAGAACCCACCACAAACGTCTCCCTGACCGCCGGCCACTTGGTCTCGAAGGCTTGGTTGGGCGGGGTTTGGACCCGGGAGCGGGACACTTGGCGGGCTTGCAGGCTGAAAAAGGGGCTTACATCTAGGAAAGTCTCTTGAGCTTGGGTTGGGCTTGACTTCGGCTTAGGGTTAGGCTTAGTCTTTGTTTAGGCTTGGCATGGACTTAAGCTTACCCATGCGGATCAGCATTCTTCGGCACGCGATTCTGAGCAGCTTTCAGCGTCTGCTGCAGCTTCTTCCGCTGTGCTTCTACGAGCACCAGAATTCGGGATCGATCCTCGAAGAGGCGGGACAGGATTAGAAGTCTTCGAAGACGGCTGAAATCAGGGGAAAATGGGGTTCGTTGCGAGCTTGTGTACCGTTTTCCAAAGAGGATGTGCTTGGCGTGTTGATCCAGGTCTTTTCGGCCGAGTAGCTTCTCAAAAAAAATGGAGATTTCATAAAAAGGAATCTCCCTCTCTCTCCCTCACTCTCTCATTCACTCTCTCGCTCTCTCTCCTCACCTCAATCCTCTGATCATCCGCGGCGCGCAATCGCTCACTCATCGGCCCCCGTTCCCACAGGTCCATCAGCGCCGTGATCTCGGCGTCAATCTATAAGATGCTAATTTTAGCTACAGTACCCCTACCGCTGCCGGGCTGTTCAGATGTTGGGCCTGGATCGGGTCAATTGGTGCGGGTGGCGTGGGTCCTGAGGGGCTGAGGGTGACCGGAGCGCGAGGGGGGAGTGGTTGGGTCTGAAACGTAGGCGTGGGTTTCGGTCCAGGTTGGGTTCGGGCTGAGGCTTGAGCTTAGGTTTAGGCTTAGGCTTAGCTCTGAAGCCAACTTAACATACCAGCCAGTTTAGAAAAAGTCTACCTTGGGCTTCCAGGCAATCGTGACAGGCGTCTGTGTTGTTGTGGATATCGTCGTTGGTTCGGGGGTTGCGATAAAGAATTGCATGTCTTCAGAATCATCCTCTATTTCCTCTTCTTCTTCCGTCTCATCTTCTGTGGGTGTTGTCATGGTGAAGGGCATCGAGGTGATGAGGGTGGGCGGGGGTGTCGTTCTAGCTGTCGGGATTGGGCGACGTCTTCTAGTCGTCGCCGTGGCTGTTGTCGTGGTTGTACTTGTTGTAGTCGTGGTGGTGGTAGTTGTAGTCGTTGTTCTCGTCGTGGTCGTCGTTGTAGTAGTGGTCGTCGTTGCTCTCCTCGTTGTCCTCACCGTCGTCGTTGGCGGCGTCTGAAATGCTTGGGTGTGCTTAGGATTACGCTTAAGATTCTTAGGATGCTTAGGCTTGGCTTAGAAAGCTTAGGATTAGACTACGGATGCTTGGAATTTGGCTTAGGATGCCTAGGTTTAACCTTAATTAGAATTAGGCTTGGACTTAGTCTTAGGTTTTGACGTGGTTGTTCTCGTGCTCATGCTCATACTCGCACTCAGCAACCTGTGACCCCAAACAAAAACCCACCGTTTCCGGCACCATCGAATCCGGGGCAGAGATCTCCTCAAAGGCCGCATCGTTCTCGAAATCGGCCCATCCGCTCGGGGGAGCGATTGGCTAAAATGTGTCCGTTCTACCGTAACCAGATGGCTTACATTTTGGTAGACCGTCTGGGCGCCCAATGCTTTTGCTCGGCTCAATGGCAGCTGCACGGGTTTGGGCTCGTTTTTAGGCGGTGTTCCCGTAGTAGCTTCGAGCTTGGCCATGGCTTCAAGCCCCTCAAGTTTAGGGCCATCTTGGCCTGCTTCCGCCACTTTTCCCTCCACAGCACTGTCCCATTTTTCTTTCAGTTCATCGTAGCGTTGCCTCACCTGAAACGCCGAAATTTCAGAATATCGGCATTTTCAGAATATCCAAATTCAGATTGTCGACTCCCTAGCAATTTTTGATATTCTGCAATTTCGACACTTTGAAAAGTTGACTTTCTGATGCTGCGCTGTAACTAATACCGATTTGATGGCCGTCAATAGTTCCTTGGCGTATTCCTGGTCCCCAGCGCCGGCCTCACCTTCCAGGGCTTTTTCTGAAAATTAAGGAGGTACTTCGGCAGCTTAGGTATGCGCTTAGACAAAAGCTTGGCCTTCTGCTCGCGCTTAGCTTATGAGGCTAGCTTATCTGGCTTGGCTTTGTTAGGCTGGCTTAGGCTTACTTGGCTGAAATGCTTAGGCTAGAGCTATGCTTCAGCTTAGACTTAGGCTTAGCCTAGAGCTAAGCTTAAGCTTATAGGGCCAGGCTTTGGGTATCAGCTCGCTTAGTCTTACGCTTACGCCGAGGCTTAGGCTTAGGCTTAGCCTTGGGCTTAGCCTTAGGTTTAGGATTAGGCTTAGGTTTAGGCTTAGACTTAGACTTAGGCTTGGCTCGAAAATAACCTACCTAGATCGGCAAACTCTCCCATATCCTCGAGATCAGCCGGTTCAGCCTTGGGCTGTGCGCGCTCCTGTTCGAGCGACTCGATAAGTTCGTCGAGTTCGGCTGCAATTCAAATACTTAGCTTCCAAGGCATAAAACTACCTTTAGCGCTGCTATCTTCGCATTCCGCGTACCGCACCACGCAAAATATTAGAAGCGTAAGAAGCCAGGGCTTCATTTTTAGACTGTAGGTGTGGAGCGGTAGAAATATGGGATTTTTGAAATTCTACAGTACTTCAATAGCCGTATTAAATAGAAAATTAAGTGTCAATAGGATAGTATGGTACTGTAGGAACTTTAGTAGTACGGTACTGTACTAGTGTACTGTATTCGTCAATTTGCGCCGAGCGTAGTGATGCGGAATCTGAAAATTTTGTTGAAAGGGAGGGCAAGTTAAGAGAAATAGAGTACGGATTCCAACAAATTACAGGTGAAAATCATGACGTAATCGGATAGACACCATTTCTCTACTTTGACGCGAAAATAAACATGGTTTTAAGAAGAATTTCGGGCTAATTACAGCAGCAAAATTTGGAAAAAAACGGGCATAACCGATGGAAAAATCCAGTACTTTTCACTACAATGTACACGTAACGTTTCGTGGTTAAGTGAAGTTATAGACTTAGGTTTAGTCTTAGGCTTGGCTTTTGCTTGGCTTAAGTTAGGCTTAGGCTTAGGATTAGGCTAAGACTTAGCTTGGGCTTGGCTTGGACCTGGCTCAGGCTTAGGCAACGCTTACGCTTTTAGGTTGGGCGTAGGCTTAGGATTAGGCTAAGGCTTAGGAGTAGACTTAGTTTTAGGCTTAAGTTTAAGCTTCGCATAGGCTTTGGCAATGCTTAGGCTTAGCTTTGGCTGGGGCTTAGGCTCAGGCTAAGCTTAGGCTTAATCCTAACGTATCGACGCGAAATGGCAAGAATGGCGTAACGAGCCCTCTCCCCCCGCCCTGCCGTCCCGGATCGGAAAGTGTCCGTTTTTCGGGGGCGATTTACGGGATTTACAAGGGGCTCGCGCGTTCCCGGAGTACCTCACGATAACAATCTGCTGCCCTCCGAGGCATTTTCCGGTATCCCCCGGCCGGACTGGACCGGGGTCCACTCCGAAAATGCAGCTGTTGGCACTAGGGCTCGGTTTTCACGCCTTTCTCGTATTTAGAGTTAGGACCGGATTTGGGGTTTATTTTCAAGAACCGGCCTCGGGATTGACTTAGGCTTAGCTTAGGCTTAGATTAGACTTGGTTTAGCTATGCTTGAGCTTAGCTTAGGCTTAGCCTAGGTTAGCTTAGGCCCAGCTTAGGCTTAGCCTAGGCTTAGCTCACGCTTCGGCTAGGCTTTTTGTTACTTCAGATAAAAACTAAAAATTTTATTTTTATTAGAGTTTCGACAAAAAATACAACGCAAGTAGCAGAGATTATTCGTGAATTAGAGCCGTCGTAGTGAGTGCGAGCTCTCATCACACAATTAGCACCACCCACACAAACTGCCAGGGAAATGAGAGCGGATTCCGCGCGCGCCTAATGACAGTCGCTGTAAAGGGGGTGGTTTAATCACCGCCCTGTTGCGGCAGTGCATCCAAAACTTTGGAAAAAGTTGCAGAACCGCTTTCACAATGGGTACACAGATAGACAATCGGTTTGAGACGTTTTGGAAAGTTCGCAGGCATAGGCTTATGCTTAGGAAGAGGTTAGGCGTAGATTTAGGCTTAGACTTAGGCTTAGACCTAGGCCTAGGCTTAGGAGAAGGATTAGGCTTAGCTTAGGCTTAGGCTTAGCTTAGGCTTAGGCTTAGGCTTAGGCTTAGACTTAGGCTTAGGCTTAGGCTTAGACTTAGGCTTAGGCTTAGCTTAGGCTTAGGCTTAGCTTAGGCTTAGGCTTAGGCTAGGCAGACTTAGGCTTAGGCTAGCTAGGCCAGCTTAGGCAGGCAGGCAGACTGGACTTAGGCAGGCTAGGCTTAGACTTAGGCTAGGCTAGCTTAGGCTTAGGCTTAGCTAGGCTTAGGCTTAGGCTTAGGCTTAGACTTAGGCTTAGGCTTAGGTTAGGCGTAGGCTTAGGCTTTGGCTTAGGCTTAGGCTTAGACCTAGGCTTAGGCTTAGGCTTAAGTAGCCTTTCCTACTGTTGCTTTAAAGGGATTAGGAAGTGAGGAAATTGGGCCTTTCCCATCGGCTACCACGCCAAAAAACGTGTACGTTAAGATCAGGTTGCTCTCGGAAGCCGTTATGCAATGAAAAGACACTCGAAGCACAAAATCCTCCATAGCCAAGCCTTGCTTGCCCCTTTAACGAAAAAAGCAACTTTATAGTCGATTTTTTCAAGCTGAATCGGTTCCAGTCGGAATTTAGCCCCGGCCAAGACGGTAGCTTTCAAATGGATGGGTAGAAGGGCAATTTCTGTTGGCATTTCCCCGCGGGCTTTTCCCCCACCCAAATAGCCTCATGCTGTGCCCACGATCCACTCAAGGACATTTGGTACTCAAGCAGACACACTACAAAAATGCTCTCGATTTAGGGAAGACTTGCCCTCGAAAGGGGGCAATTTGCCATCGAGAACAGAGAGTTATGGCAAGCAGGAAGTAATAGGCTTAGGCCTAGGTTAGGCTTAGGTTAGGCTAGGCTTAGGCTTAGGCCAAGGCTTAGGCTTAGGCTTGGCTTAGGTTCAGGCTTAGGCTTAAGCTTAGGCTTGGGCTTTGGTTAGGCTTAGGTTACCGCTAGGCTCATACTCATCTCAAAGCTCAGGCTCAGTCTTAGGCTTAAGTTAGACAGAGGTTTTTAAGCACAGCTTTCTCTGCGCTTACGTTAAGGCCTGGCTTAGGCTCAGAGATAAGCGTAGGCTTGGGCGTAAGTTTAGGTTAGGCTTTGGTTCGCACCGAGCTCATGCTCATATCAAGGTTCATGCTCAGACTTATGCTTGGCCTTGGGCTTATGTCAAGACTAAACTGATGCTCATCTCAATGGTCATGCTCAGGCTTGGGCTTATGTCAAGACTAAGCTGATGCTCATCTTAAGGGTCATGCTCAGATTTAGGCTTGGGCTGAGGAAAAAATAAGGTCATATACAGAGAAACGAAAATTCCACAAAGGGATACTTTACATAGGAAAACGCCAATCTCAACGGCAATTTCTGTGATGTCTAGGGCAGGCAGGTGGGCGCGCGAGGCAGGCATTACATCGACTCATTTCCCGGCGGCCGCCCTGTTTTTTGGAGCCTAATTTCATGGGGGGTGGGGAGGCGAAGAATTACAGTCAAATATCGAGATCCCGCTTACACAAAAACGCGCGTCGTCATAAAAAAATTTCCGTAAGACCGAAACTTTCCAAAACTCAAGTGTAAAGGAACGCTGTGGTTGTTGGCATTATGGCAGGGCAATAATGTACAAAAAATAGTTATAGCAAAACAAGCCCCTGAAATGAGGGTTACAAGCTTATCCGTGCCATTTTTGGATATTTTTAAACCAAATTCGAAAGAGCGTCAAAAAAGATATCTACCGTTTTAATTACAGGTCATAATAATCTGACATCAAATAGCAAAAAATCTTTAAGATTTTCTACCTCAACTCGGGCCGAAAACGCCAAAAATTTCTGGAGAAAACGCTCGGGGGCTGATAAAAGATTAGCATATGAAAGGGGGGCATTGAAGAGGACTTGACAGGGGACGATAGTGCCATCCAACAACCACCAAACACAACACGAATGGAACCTCCCTTCCGAAAAAAAAACGGTGGCGAAGAAGGGGGCAACGTGGCGAACGAATGCGATTCCGCTCCGATACTATTGACACTATCTTGGGCGTACTCAGTCCGCATCACAGATTCATGCCGAAAAGGGACAATGGCTGATAGGGTACTGTAAGGGACTACAAATCTGTCTGGTTAGGCGTCAAATTGAAAAAAGCATGACGCTGATCATCACTGCCCCCCCCCCCTTTTTTCAGAGAGAGAGGAGAGAGAAAGAGTGAGGGGCAGAGAGAGAAAAAGAGAGAGCGTGAGAGAGGGGGAGAGATACAGCGCTAGAGTGAGGATCGAGATAGAGCGAGAGAGCACGAGCGAGTGCAACAGTGAGCGAGAGCGAGTGTGAGAGAGCGAGATAGAGCGAGATAGTGATCGAAAGAGAGGCTGAGAGAGCCAGAGAGAGCACGAAAGGTGTGCAATAATGAGTGTGAGAGAGAGTGTGCGAGAGAGAGAGAGAGAGCGAGAGAGCGAGAGAGCGATGGTGAGGGAAAGCGTGAGAGCGCCAACAATAATACCCTTAAAAATTCCATGCTACCCTGGCGACTAATCATGAAAATCCGGAGAAATTGAACTCTCCGAAACCCATCGGAGCATCAGCAGCGGCCTGTCAAAAGCCCTTAGAGGGCAAATAGCCTGAATGACATCAAAAAAAAAGCCGAGAAGGGACACAGGAGATGACAAGGTCATTCTCTGGATTGGCATCGCCCCCGGGAAGGAAAAGGAAAAGTAGGAGGAGGAGGAGGAAAAGGCGGAGGAGAAAACAGGGGGTGTGAAAAAGGGTTGAATGGCATTGATACCCGGCCGCGTGTCTAATGGCTGGACATGGCAAATATTCTCCGTCGCCCGGGTCGTACACCCCGACCCAGCAGCGTCGGGTTCAAATTTTTGATGGGCCTTTCGGAAAATGCGAGCGGTGTTTTATAGGAAGCTATCCAGGGAAATTCAAGCCGAAATACCGACAGCAAAAATCTCGGTAAGCCAAAATCCCGACAGAAAAATCGGGATTTTGGCTGTCGGCATTTTCGCTTTCGGGATTTTCGCGAATTTCTCGAGACCCCGGGCGTCCAGAAAAGACGCTTTCTACTTTCTCTAGTGCCCAGCGAAAAAATTAGGTTTTCCCTGTTAAATTCCCCCCGTTAATAGCCCAGTACCGAGAAAAGTTTTGAAATACCGGAAATCACAAGGTGTAGGGTTTCTCAAAAACTATAGCGATTCGACTCTCCTACGCCAAGATATAGTGTTCTTTTTTGCAATTCTGACTTTCGGCATTATCAGAAACGAGATGTCGAAATAGGCCTAAAAATCGTGAACTCTTTCTACTGATTGCGAAAGGAAAATTGTCGATGATTGACACGGTATCTCCGAGGGCAGACAGCCGGTCGGTTGCCGAATATCCGGAAAAGCGCTGTCCGGGTGGGCTTGCGCACGGAACGTCCGGTCCCGCTCCTCTCGATTCTCGA